GCAAGCGTGTCCGCGTCGGATTCCAAATGGCCGTTTGCACTGTGTGCGATTCCTATCGTAGGTTTTCAAATACAGCTCTTTTTGCGTCACGGTCCTCCACCGCGTAGCCGCCTATTGAGGTCACGGCGACCACAGTTCGGAGCTTTGGCGGCGTCTGTTGTACGCGTGCACTCACAGAATCAAGCTCCGCAAGCGTGTCCGCGTCGGATTCCAAATGGCCGTTTGCACTGTGTGCGATTCCTATCGTAGGTTTTCAAATACAGCTCTTTTTGCGTCACGGTCCTCCACCGCGTAGCCGCCTATTGAGGTCACGGCGACCACAGTTCGGATCTTTGGCGGCGTCTGTTGTACGCGTGCACTCACAGAATCAAGCTCCGCAAGCGTGTCCGCGTCGGATTCCAAATGGCCGTTTGCACTGTGTGCGATTCCTATCGTAGGTTTTCAAATACAGCTCTTTTTGCGTCACGGTCCTCCACCGCGTAGCCGCCTATTGAGGTCACGGCGACCACAGTTCGGAGCTTTGGCGGCGTCTGTTGTACGCGTGCACTCACAGAACCAAGCTCCGCAAGCGTGTCCGCGTCGGATTCCAAATGGCCGTTTGCACTGTGTGCGATTCCTATCGTAGGTTTTCAAATACAGCTCTTTTTGCGTCACGGTCCTCCACCGCGTAGCCGCCTATTGAGGTCACGGCGACCACAGTTCAGAGCTTTGGCGGCGTCTGTTGTACGCGTGCACTCACAGAATCAAGCTCCGCAAGCGTGTCCGCGTCGGATTCCAAATGGCCGTTTGCACTGTGTGCGATTCCTATCGTAGGTTTTCAAATACAGCTCTTTTTGCGTCACGGTCCTCCACCGCGTAGCCGCCTATTGAGGTCACGGCGACCACAGTTCGGAGCTTTGGCGGCGTCTGTTGTACGCGTGCACTCACAGAACCAAGCTCCGCAAGCGTGTCCGCGTCGGATTCCAAATGGCCGTTTGCACTGTGTGCGATTCCTATCGTAGGTTTTCAAATACAGCTCTTTTTGCGTCACGGTCCTCCACCGCGTAGCCGCCTATTGAGGTCACGGCGACCACAGTTCAGAGCTTTGGCGGCGTCTGTTGTACGCGTGCACTCACAGAATCAAGCTCCGCAAGCGTGTCCGCGTCGGATTCCAAATGGCCGTTTGCACTGTGTGCGATTCCTATCGTAGGTTTTCAAATACAGCTCTTTTTGCGTCACGGTCCTCCACCGCGTAGCCGCCTATTGAGGTCACGGCGACCACAGTTCGGAGCTTTGGCGGCGTCTGTTGTACGCGTGCACTCACAGAACCAAGCTCCGCAAGCGTGTCCGCGTCGGATTCCAAATGGCCGTTTGCACTGTGTGCGATTCCTATCGTAGGTTTTCAAATACAGCTCTTTTTGCGTCACGGTCCTCCACCGCGTAGCCGCCTATTGAGGTCACGGCGACCACAGTTCGGATCTTTGGCGGCGTCTGTTGTACGCGTGCACACACAGAACCAAGCTCCGCAAGCGTGTCCGCGTCGGATTCCAAATGGCCGTTTGCACTGTGTGCGATTCCTATCGTAGGTTTTCAAATACAGCTCTTTTTGCGTCACGGTCCTCCACCGCGTAGCCGCCTATTGAGGTCACGGCGACCACAGTTCGGAGCTTTGGCGGCGTCTGTTGTACGCGTGCACTCACAGAATCAAGCTCCGCAAGCGTGTCCGCGTCGGATTCCAAATGGCCGTTTGCACTGTGTGCGATTCCTATCGTAGGTTTTCAAATACAGCTCTTTTTGCGTCACGGTCCTCCACCGCGTAGCCGCCTATTGAGGTCACGGCGACCACAGTTCGGATCTTTGGCGGCGTCTGTTGTACGCGTGCACTCACAGAACCAAGCTCCGCAAGCGTGTCCGCGTCGGATTCCAAATGGCCGTTTGCACTGTGTGCGATTCCTATCGTAGGTTTTCAAATACAGCTCTTTTTGCGTCACGGTCCTCCACCGCGTAGCCGCCTATTGAGGTCACGGCGACCACAGTTCGGATCTTTGGCGGCGTCTGTTGTACGCGTGCACTCACAGAATCAAGCTCCGCAAGCGTGTCCGCGTCGGATTCCAAATGGCCGTTTGCACTGTGTGCGATTCCTATCGTAGGTTTTCAAATACAGCTCTTTTTGCGTCACGGTCCTCCACCGCGTAGCCGCCTATTGAGGTCACGGCGACCACAGTTCGGATCTTTGGCGGCGTCTGTTGTACGCGTGCACTCACAGAAGCAAGCTCCGCAAGCGTGTCCGCGTCGGATTCCAAATGGCCGTTTGCACTGTGTGCGATTCCTATCGTAGGTTTTCAAATACAGCTCTTTTTGCGTCACGGTCCTCCACCGCGTAGCCGCCTATTGAGGTCACGGCGACCACAGTTCGGATCTTTGGCGGCGTCTGTTGTACGCGTGCACTCACAGAATCAAGCTCCGCAAGCGTGTCCGCGTCGGATTCCAAATGGCCGTTTGCACTGTGTGCGATTCCTATCGTAGGTTTTCAAATACAGCTCTTTTTGCGTCACGGTCCTCCACCGCGTAGCCGCCTATTGAGGTCACGGCGACCACAGTTCGGATCTTTGGCGGCGTCTGTTGTACGCGTGCACTCACAGAATCAAGCTCCGCAAGCGTGTCCGCGTCGGATTCCAAATGGCCGTTTGCACTGTGTGCGATTCCTATCGTAGGTTTTCAAATACAGCTCTTTTTGCGTCACGGTCCTCCACCGCGTAGCCGCCTATTGAGGTCACGGCGACCACAGTTCGGATCTTTGGCGGCGTCTGTTGTACGCGTGCACTCACAGAATCAAGCTCCGCAAGCGTGTCCGCGTCGGATTCCAAATGGCCGTTTGCACTGTGTGCGATTCCTATCGTAGGTTTTCAAATACAGCTCTTTTTGCGTCACGGTCCTCCACCGCGTAGCCGCCTATTGAGGTCACGGCGACCACAGTTCGGATCTTTGGCGGCGTCTGTTGTACGCGTGCACACACTGAATCAAGCTCCGCAAGCGTGTCCGCGTCGGATTCCAAATGGCCGTTTGCACTGTGTGATGCCGTTTGCGCGTGAACGACTCGGCACAGGCAGACATCATGGGTCAGGCAGTAATCAGATACTTCGGTGGGGTAACGGTCCTCCCATCGACACACGATACAGCGGCGCTTCTTACGGTTTTGTTTCGCGTGAATCTGCTTTGATGCCACTGATGTGCACTGCAGCACGTGGTCTACTTCCTTTCGATCTGAGCGGACTGGAACCGACATTCGATCTTGATTCACATCCGCACCTTGCGACTCTCTACTACCATAGAACATGCGGCCCTCGCTTCCCACTTCCCATTTATCAGCTCACCCACCAATTCTGTCATGAAGGCTCTATTCGAGTCACGAGTAGTCGAATTCCGCTTCACGAGTCTTCTGGTCAGATATGTCATGAAGGCTTTATGCGAGTCACGAGTAGTCGAATTCCGCTTCACGAGTCTTCTGGTCAGATATGCATTTGCTCTAGCAATATCAATCAGCGCTAACGCCAGTTTCTTGTGCCAGCGCTTGAAGGATGTCCGTCATCGATAGAAAACCTCTCTCTTATCTGGTCGAGTCGGTCGACGCCCTGCATATTTTTGTTGTATTGGCGAACACAACTTGGAGCTGGAAATTCAGCACTCTCGTTACCAACCGTACGCGTTACGGATGATACCGTAGATGCATCAGCATTTGAAACCATATCCACGATGTTTCCATCGCACCACGAAACGGCAATCATGTTGTGTTCACTGGACACAGCCTGCCGCAGGTCTCCTCGCACACAATCATCGTGATCTTTGTCAAGAATTGTATGACCTGGAAAATGCTTGCTTTTGGCCCGAATCGTCCCTCGGCCGAACAGCCCCTTGAGTCGAAGCTCTTGGAGAAGCTGTACCGATGTATAATAGTTGTCCATATTGACAACTCGGTTACTACCAACCAAGGGTCGAATGACTTCTAGTACAATCTGTCGGATCGTTAGCACGCTTTTGATCTCCTCTGCTAGACCCCGGGCTTCTTGTTCGCTTATAACTCCACTGAGACGATCAGTAATACTGCTTCTATTACAGTGAAGCGTGTAGTTAAAAGCAATCCACGTAGAAGAGCAACATACAGCATATAGCCGGAAATGATACTTTCCAGTAGGCTTCATGGGGTTGAACACAACGAGATGCCGCCCTTGGCGAGAGCGACACGCCATACTTGCCTCGTCTAACGCAACATCACGCTCGACGACTATGTACTTTTGTCCGGTCACTTTGAGCACATTTAGTAAAGGCCGAATTCGGGCTGCAGCGTCAATATGCAACGTGGTGGGGTTGGCATTGAAGCTCAGACATCTCCGCAGCAGTCTGAATCGGCTGAGGCTCATGACCCCATCCAACGCAGTAGTACTTCCACCAAATATCAAGTCTTCAGGTTGGGCTCCCCAATAATTCGAGTATTCACCTTTATCGTTTAGGGCCATAAAGAAAAGGATACCGAGAAATGTCATCCGCTCCTGCAGCGTGAAAGGTCGTGTTGTTTGAATGCCCTTTGATACAGCGTACTCGTTGGTCTGGTACAGCACTTGGCGCCAGAAATACAACGGTAGATAGGCAAAGAATGAGGCGCTAGCTGAATCCTCGAATACATTCCGGGCGCAAGAAGGTTGCTGTTGATCCGTCAGGGTGTTCGAAAAGATTGGGGGGGGGGCGTCGACACGTCCATCGTGGTCAAAACGCATGTTCCGGATTGTCTCCACTTCTTCCAAGCTGGTGGTGGGCTCGGGCTCGAACTCATACTCCTCACAAATGTCTGAATCTATAGGATCGTCGATGCCAATATCGTCGGTTGTTTCTGGCTGGACCAACCCCACCCACGCTGGATTGTTCTTCAACTGCACCAAAGCTCGATAATGCTCAATGCCGTTTTGAATCAAACCCACTGCGAGGTGCTCCACCGCCGACTGAAACTGCGTATCCAACCACCGAACCTAAAACAGTGACGCGAATTTCCCTTTCCTAGGTCGTCTGCACATGCGACCAATTATATAGGCTGATCCAGTCGTTTTGTACACCTTCGACTTCATCCAAACCTCCTTCTCAGGAGTAAACGCTACCAATCGATCAAGATACACATCTTGTAGAAGCGCCGGTGGTGATCAGGCACGGGTTGTACCATCCAGGACTGGACGACCATTTTCTGTAAGTCTGCCTTTTGGGTTTGGTGGATTACCCATATCTCTACCAAGCAAACCATCCTTTCCGCCAACAAGCCCATTCAATCCAAACCCCACGTTATCTCCATCGTCATCTCCACAAACTCCAACACTAGCGGCACTTCCACCGCCGCCTCCTCCAGCTTGTGCCGTTCCTACCCCGACCACACATACACATCCTAAGGTCAGTGTCCACGCATAGCTCCACACGCCCACAACAGCATCACGCGTACCTGAAGCTGATGTCATGGTACTGCCCTCGCCGCCCACGACTCGAGCCGGGCCGACGAGCTCGACGCCCTGCTCCATGATCTTCGCGGCACTCGCCCGGGCGGGCCTTCGTGCTTCCGCTTGCCACGCATTTCCGTCCTTGAGTAATGCCTCATTGCGGCCATCGCGGTTCGCCCTTCGCGCAATAGGTTTTCAAGCTAGCATAGTATAATGAAACATCAATTTTTCAGAATTGAATCTAATCTGTTAGAGAGGTACTCGAGTCTTCGGCGTTGCTAAAATAGGGGATGCGCTGGTATTAGGCAGTCCTTGCTCGCCATGAAAAAATAAAATAAATTACCGCGAGAAGCTCTGTGCACATTTCATGTGATTGGATGAAACAAAATAAGGTAGGTCAGGGTGCGTAAAACAGCTGCAAATACTTTAAGGGCGCACTGGAACTCTTCCAAAAACAACACAAAAATAAATGTGTCACGAGCACAAAAATAGGGCTGCATACCCAGTACAGTATGCGAAGACGCAAATATCGTCTCCTAAATCGATCGCGTCCTGCGATGCATACGTAAGTGGCTGTGCAGATTAGGCAATCGTTTTATGGAAGTCAAGTCGGTATAGCCGCGTTTGGAGCAGAATGCCCACCTTTTACTGGGTAATCGCGCAGCCAAGCGATGCATCTAGACCACGATCGATTTCAGCCCTGATTTGTACTCTGATTAATTAAGTGGTTAAAATCTAATCAGGGGTTGCTACAGATGGGAGTTTTAGCCGGTTCTCACAATAATACTACCGTGTTTTGCAAACATACTTAAAGGTCGTCTTTTGCGCCCTTCTGCCACGAAAGGGTTAATATGTGGCACTTAAGTATGCGTGATCGCCAATTTGATTAGTACCTACTAGCAGTTAGAGTGTCCGCACCAGTAAAGCTAAATCCCAATGCTAAACCTCGGTTCCCTACCCACAATAACTTTGTGCAGTGGTGATTTAGCCATCTGAAACAATGACTTGGTTTTTGTATGGGTGATTTGGCCACCGCTAAATCTGCTGCCAAATTTGGCATTGGAAATAGCATCCGGACTTCAGGGTCATACGAAATCCAAGACACTTTACCATGCACCTTTTACAGCTACAGTAATCTGAATAGCAGATTTTTCATTGCCCACGATTATTAGTCTGGCCCCAACAGTGACAGACTAATTTTGAATTCAGACTAATTATGAATATCTAAAAATATCCGTTTTCTAGTAAGAAAAAATATTATTTTTGTGAAATGGTATGTTTATACGTATTTTCAAATATTTTTTATAGTTTACCTATATTTATACTGGGATAGGAAGCAACGTTAGTGCTGCTATCGCAGACCAAATCGGATTATACCCGTGGTACGTCAAGTCAAAATATTACCCCTCTTGACACCCAACTGGTACATTTCCTGAAACCGGTATGACCCCTGCCGCATTGGGCCCTCCAAAAGGTTTATATGCGTGGGCAGTTTGAACCGGTATGAATCAATAACATATATCGAACCGGATGGAGTGAAGTAAAGTGAATGATTAAAGCGGATGGACTACTGTAGTAGCATACAACGGCAAACATTTTCATGACAGCAGCCAATTTACCAGATCTCGCACACACAGAACCTGATATCTAGAAAATATGATACCTGAGTGAACATGGCATCGAACCCATTGAATAGCCTTCCCTAACCGTTAGCGATGCAGCATCTGCGATGCTTTAGTCTTTATTTCTCCTTAAAGCCACGACTAGGGCTCCGCGAAGGCTGGGATAGGAGGTTTTTGGGATAACCCCTGTTTTAGTTTTTTTTTTTTTAACGATCCACGGTCATCTCCTGCGGCTGCTTCGCAGCCGCAGCATCTACCCGGTAATTTACCTCAACGGCGAAGATGCAAGACACGACTTGGCAGTAATTATACACAGTAATGAAACGAACCTTGCTCGAGATCTGCTTGTAGCTTGTAGAGAAAAGTGCTTTTTCAAAAAGCATTGCCGTAAAGTAGGTAGAGATTGACTAGAATCGTGGTCACCACGACAGACTAATTATGAACATTTTTAGCCAGACTAATAATGAAGACGTCAATTTTTGCTCGACACGAATTAGTCTGGCCCAGACTAATTTTGAAGCCAGACTAATTTTGAGCCCAGACTAATTACTGTAGGCACTGTAGCTGATGCCAAATTCGACCTGCCATACATGAAGCGGGTAGGTTTACTCAGATTTAGCTTTGGGTTTAGCTTTACCGGTGGGGACACTCTAAAAGCAATCAGGAATATTTTATTCATAATGTGCTGTCACTTTTCATCTGGGCTCGACACGAAAATATCAAACGCGATTCACCTGGCTAATTCTGTCATCCGTCCCCACAATGTTCGCTGCCAAGGACACTATTTTTGCTAGAGTTGACGGCCTCTTGCTGCGTGATGGGGTCCACATGCCACCTTTTTCTCAGCTTCTGGAAGTCAACGCAAGTCAAGCAGCACGGCAGCTATTCAGCGGGGAGAGTGCAAGACTTGGCCAAGTACGAGCGGTTGGCGAGCTCTACGCGTGCAGTTGTCGTGGTGTTGGCGACCCCGTTGCCATGCCTAGCGTCACTCTCTTCATCGACTTGTTGCCTCTTTCGCCTCCGTCGGAGGGTATCCACTCCAACAAACTCTTCCTATTGCGCGAATTCTACGCGTACCTGGTCATGACGTTGCTCGCCCTCCACCAATTTCGTAAGGGAATCCCGGTACTACCATACCCACCAAGGAAACTTTTCAGGGATACGTTCCTAGTGTCGGGTGTGTGTGTTGGCATTCTGTACGGCCTCATACTGACCGTTGGGTTCCCTCTTCCGTTCACAACGCTGACCATTGTGCCAGTGTGGACTGTGCTGACCCTCGTGTGCTTGGGGGTTCAATGGGCAAAGATACTCCGAGAAACCGTTGGCGCAGTGATGATGTTCATCGGGATGGTGAAGCTTTGGTTGTGCGATATCCTGCTCGTGTTCGTCTACCCGCCATACTTCTACGTCTTCTCCACGCTATCTACTAACAGCCAAATCGCCTTGGTACTGCTCCTCCCGGTCATTAAAGTGCTGATGAGGAAGCTCTTCTCTCGGGCAGTCCAGCATCTCGGCGACGAGACGCCAGGGCTAGTTGTATTTAACGCCGACGTGTTCGGATCCCTCTTTGTGGCGTATTGTATGCAGCGGTCGCCCTCGACCTGGACCACGACGGGTATCATGATGCTGGATGTGGTTACAATGGCGATATCATTACGGGATGTGGCTATCGCGCGAAAAGAGTTGCTGGAACTTGAGCGCCAGCTGGACAAGGCGCACGCGTGGCGTAGTTATCGTGGGGAAGTGGGCCATATCAGTCTAGGAATTCGCATGCCAACTACGCTGGAGCGCGCGAGTATTCTATTGGACCAGGCAGCGGGAGAGTACACGAACGGACCTAGTATCGATATCGTGGATGTGGCTAGCAAAAACCGCATTATAGATTATTCCCAGTCGGGTAGGAAGATCTTTGGGTTTGCTCGAATCCATCCCGCCGATCACGGAGCTGTTGCTGTTGGGCGAAGATCACCAAACGCTGTGATTGAAGCTAGCTACACACTCAAGGTGCGGAGACTGTTGTGCATGGCTGAATTTTTGCTGCTTCTCAACTACGTCGAAGCCATGATCCCGCTCATCTTCTGTAAGTACATGATATTTTTTTTTCAGAGAAGATTATGTTGGGTAGGAGCAACAGCATGGATTTGTACTAATGTATGTGTGACCCCCTTTAGCTATTTACCTCGTTGCTACGTTCTACCTGCCCAACCGCGACTACTACGCTATCTATGACAGCATGGACCACCACCAGCTCTTCCAGACGCTGCAGAATGTGTTGCTTTACTGCATTCTCCAAATGGTCTCGTTTTTTCCTCTTGGTCTTTATGCTCCGACGTATGCTGGAGCTGTCACCAATTAAACATATCGCCTTTGTTCTGGAAAAGCAAGTCGACTTCGTGCAAATGTGCCTCGTCTTTTGGCTATTCTATAACGTCCAGAGCTCACTGCAGCACATGGGTCAGCAACTCAAGGAAGTGGGGAAGAAACGCAGGGCTAACGCTTCTTCTTGTTGCATACTGTGTTGCAGGCTATGACTACAGCTTTAGGTTTGCGTGGCTCTCTGAACCATCAAATTCGTAAAAGATGTTAGGTGAACCGACCACAATACTAGAGGCGAGGAGTTGAGTCCGAATGAACGATCCAAGCGACTCCAGACACTTCGTGAAGGGCTTGCTCTATTCGCTGCTGTGGCCTGAATCAACGTTGATGCGTTGTTTTCCCTGTTAAAGTCAAATAACGTGTGTGAACCCAGAGAAGAGATGCCACACCACGAGTTCATGATAACCGAGTTGCCCGTATTCGTTGAGCTGGACGTGACCCAGAACCTGTCCAATGAACCCAGCAAGGCCTCCTCGTGGATCAAAGACGATCTCGCGTCTCTCTGCTGCCAACTGCACAATACCAGCGAAGCGCTCCAGAGTGCGTGGGCGAAAGTTGAGCAGCTCTCTCAAACCTCGTTGAGGGGCCTGCCTCCTGTTCGAGTCATTATTTGCAAACCAGAGTACTACTTGGAGGCGGTGGACACTGCGTCTCCGCGTGTTTGGGACGCGCGCTAAATCCTGAACAAGTCCAATGGGGTGGTTTTCGTCAAGGTCGGGCCCCCATTCAACGTTGGCAAAAAGGTATCCGTCCTCATGCTACGCTTCAGCGGTGATCGATATCGTCAACGCAAAGAATGAATTCAGATTCCGCGACACGAGCGCTATGTTCATTGACGATCGATACCAGCATATATGACACCTGTAAATCCACCAACATATTGATGGAGTACCTGGAGGGCGACAAGTTGCCCACAACCTGCAAACTGGCATTTGTTCAACTCGAGGGAGGAACCTCCAAAGTTCAAGAAGCACACAGCTCAAACGCCACTACAGGCCCCAGATAACTTCACTTTGTCGAGGATTTTCCAGTTTGCAGCTGCGTGTGCAGTACGCAGAGTGGAAAACTGTCTACGACTAAGACAGAATGCCACCGCAGCATACTTCCTCTGGGTGGAAATAATTGCAATGACTTTTTTGTCGGACGATAACTTTTTTTCTAGGTACGCAATTGGACCGCGGATTGTTGCATTTGACGCGCCATGAGCTGCAATTGGCTCTCCTTCTTTAATCACTCAAAAAACATGAAAAATGCCCGAGATACGATCAAAAGGGAGCGGACAGCTTGCGTCGATGTCGTACTTAAAACTTTCTTGTTGGTGCATAAGACCGGCTCGAGGCATCAGCAAATTGCGAAAAGCTTAACATTCAAGCCTAAGTAGGTATCATCTAACAGCGAAGAGCACCACGGCGGTTATTACAAGACTCAGCGCTTTCTTTCAAGGCGCTACATGCGTCTGTCACTAAGAAATTGCAGAGTTACCTTGGATCTCAATATGTGAATTTTGCTTTTTCTCGTGTACATGCACTCTTTTTACCAGGATTGTACTGTTTTTACCACATTTGCAATTATTTCCGCCCGGAGGAAGTATTTAACTATGCACATCCAGTACGACGTTTTAAGGTTAACTCTTCCGCATCACTCTTCGATCGAGTGGGGGATTTCAAACTTGCATTTCGTTAACTTAATTCTACAGCAACTTTCTCCAATCACTACGTCACACAACATCCAATCTATCCGTCTATCTAGTCACGTAGCTGCTTCCACTCGCAGCAAAAACTTCCCGCGCTCACATGTACTCTCGGATGGCAGCCGCAATCTTGTGTAGCCCCCGTGAGGTGGCGTACTGCGCCAGCATGAGGTCGTCCGTGACTTTAATCATGGGCTTGGCGTGGTGGTACAGCAGCACTCTGGACACGCGGTCGTTGTCGTCGTCGTTCGAGATGACGGAGATCAGCAGCGGCGTCTGGTGTCGGTCGTTCAGGGCGTTCACGGCCGCGCCGGCCTTCAGCAGCATGTACACGACCGTTGCTCCGTCCGGGACGTTGGGACTGGCGGCGTAGTGCAGGGGGTGGTTGCCCCGACTGTCGGCCTTGTAGAGCAGCTCCGGTTCCGTCTCGAGCAGCTTTCTGATGGCCTTCTTGTCGCCCTTCCGGACGGCGTTGTGGAGACTCGAGCGTCCGTATTTGTTGCTGCTGCTCGCGGGCCTGTGAGGTTCCGGCTTGGGAGTAGGTTCCTGGTCGTTCGAGGCGGGTGACGCCGGTTGGGTCTCAGTTGTCGTGGGCTGGGTGAGGTGGAGGTTGGTAGTCGACAGGCACTTGGCCGACTGCGACCGGAAGCGTCTCGACGCTGTAGTAGGAAGACTTCGGTCGGAGGGCTCCGCTTCAGGCGGCGCGGAGTGCGAGCGCTCGATCCTCGCGTCTTTGGAGCGAGTGCGGCGAGTGTGGGGCGAGTTTCGGTGCGACTGGGCAATGGGGGACTGCTCCTTCTCCTTGCTCACCGACATGGTGGCGGTCTCGGAGATGGTCACGAGGTGCGGCGCGTACTTCCGTCCCCGAGGCATAGTTAGAGGGGATTTGTACTGTATGGGGGAAGTTTATCTGCACGGATGCGTGCAGGGAGGGAGTTTGGCAATGGGAAGCTGGAGGCTTGACTATCCAGCGCCCAAAGCGAAAATGCTTGAGCCTGTGACCCGTGCGTGGTCCGCCTCAACTCGCCAGCGGGTCAACTAAAAAACCAGCTAGCGCGACCATGTGGTCTGCGCGCATCCAGCCGACGTGTTGGTACCATTCCAAACCCATCGGGCTCCGATGCGAGCCACGAAAGACTGCTCGACTACCAGCCAGTTCGAGCAAGTTGACAGCGGCGAGGCATCTGTGGCGAGGCATATGCCACGTTGAGCGCGGCTGTTTCCCGAGCTCTCGGCGCGCCGCCGTCTGGGTGGCCTGTCGATGTCTCGCTGACAGTCGTCGGGTTGTTGACCAATTTTCGATGAGCAGCGCGAGGAAGATCGATGGCTCGCATGAGGATATCGATGCTCCGAACTCTGAACTCCATACAGCCCGGCAATTGTACATGTAGTGCTGCAAGCATTGTTGCTACCGGTAAGATTGATTCCGCCGATTGCATTGGCAACAATGGGTCACCGAGCACCTTTGCATGTACATGTATAGTGTGATACCTGCTGCTTTATTTCGTCGACGTACTAACAGCAGATGCCGTCGCCTGACATGTAAGTCGGAGGTTCTCTTCTTCGGGTGCTGGCAAACATGCTCATTTCCTTGATGTTTTTGAGTCAACAGGGTGAGGACCAGAGCTTCAACGTGCAAACAAGCCGTCCCACACGCCAGCCTCAGTTAGCCCTGGATGTCTGCGCCGCGGTCAGTCAACCACCGGTGTGGCTTCATGCCACGCGCGACTCGGCGACGTTGAAAAATCGGGAACGCGATTGCTGTTCCCCAGCCGGCTACGAGCCACGAGGCCATTCCACACCTGGGTCGAGAATGCCTCTCTTTTGGTAGGTGCAGTCTTCACGTGGGCTTTGTGTAGCTGCCGCAACCAGCGTCCGTCCTCTGGATCCGTCGTCTTGCGCAGGAAACGCATCGACGGTGGGAGGATGGCGTTAGGTGATCGTAAGCTCTTGGCATCTGGCCTGGTGTGGCCATGTCGTGTTGTGCAGCGCAGCAAGAAGGTGTTCCATGTCCGGATCTGCGAGCATTCGGACCTGACGCGCTGGCCATGCGGACAACCAGACATGCTGGTTGTCCGCATGGTGAGCTTTTGACCACCCGTAGGTACAATTAGTCGAGCGCCCGCCTCAAAGATACTTTTGATATGTACACTTGTTCATTTCGTTGTTCGTCCACGACCCCGACCTGCGTCTATGCTGCGCTGCTCGATACTACACAAACACGCGGCGTCGAGAGCGTCAAGAGGCACGCCGCGTCTGGTTGGTTGGTTGGTTGATGATTCACTTTACTGGGGCCCTTTCGCCTGGGCCATCGCTCTGGTCCGCTGCGCGTGGTCGTTCAGGTGCAGCTGCACCTGGTTGATGAGCTCCGTGAACGTTGAGCACTCGAACGTGAGGAAGAAGAAGGTCAGCACGTACTCGGTCACGCTGATCATGCCGAAGAGCAGCACGGCGACCCACGACCAGTTGGACACGACGATGGACATCATGTGCGTCACGAACACGGCCAGCGCGGCCACGAAGAAGGCCACGGCGCGCCACAGCCGCGTGTGTCGGGCGCCGATGGCCTCGTTGCGGCCGACGAACAGCATGTTCTGCACCTCCTGCAGGCACGCGGCGTCCGCGGCGGCCTTGTCCTCCTCGCTCTGCGGCGCCTCCTTCTCGTCGCAGTGCGCGCACGTCGTCGTGGGGCACGAGCGCTCCGCGGCCCTCGTCGCGTTGGGTGACACCACTTCGTCCGTGGACACGACGTCGTAGCCGCGCTCCTGCTGCTCGCAGACGTGCGGCCTGGGCTCGCTGAAGATGAACTCGGCCCGCACGCCGAAGTGGTCTGACAGCGGCGTCTTCTCTCCGTGTGCATCGGTGAAGAAGCCCTTGAAGATGCTGCTCTTCACCAGGTGCCAGTCCGACGCGCCCTTGGGCTGCTTGTCGATCTTGTACATGACGTAGTCCATGCGCATCGGGTGCTCCCCGTGCGAGTACTTGTTGTCGGGCGACGCGAACGTCAGGCCGTCCTCGGCGTTCGTGTCCGTGAAGGCATCTCGCAGGTTCAGCAGCTGGCGCGGCACCTTGAGCTCCAGACAGTCCGGGGACGAGTTGAAGTCTCCGCACACGATCGTGAGCTTGTTCCGGTTGGTGGCCGCGATGAACTGCGTGAGCTCGTAGCTCTGGCCCGTGCGGTGCCAGAGGTAGAAGTCTCCAGGTCCGGGCTTACCGCCGGCGTTGTAGTTGGCCAGCAGGTGGGTCACGTACACGTCGATCTGGCCGGCGGGCGTCTCGACGCGCAGCAGGCCGACACCCTTGTTGGCGACGAAGTCGGACTCGTGCAGCGCGTAGGGCCGCCCACTGAGGCTGAACGAGTGGTAGAGCGCGCTGGAGATGGGGAACTTGGACAGCACCAGCAGCCCCGTGCCGAACGAGTCGGCCCCCATGGGGAACGGGAAGCCCACGGCCGGGTTGAAGTAGTGGTAGTAGTGGAAGCCGCTCTGCTGCGCCTTGGCGATGACGAGGTTGCGCTCGCGCAGGTGCCAGATCTCCTGCAGCACCACGAGCTCGTAGTCGCTCGAGATTGCGCTGGCGATCTCCGCCGCGCGCTCCGTGCACTTGGGCGCGACCGGGAGGCCTGGTGGAACGGGGTAGAACGGGCGGGGAGAAGCACCAACAAACAATTGTCAGTTTCTAACGTTTCTATCACTTTTTTCTGAACTGATCGCCGAAAAAAATGATCTTACCCCACGCGTTGAGGCTCAGCACGCGCAGCCGCACGCTCTGCTTGTCCTGCTCCGTCCAGACCGGCCAGGCCGCGCGCGAGGGCGCGGGCGTGGCCACGGGCTCCAGGTTGAAAGCCTCCAGCAGCACGCGCTGGCGGATCCGCTCCACGACGTGCTCCTCCGTCATCCCGATAGCGACTTGCGACTGGCGACTTGTGACCCGAACACTTGCGCTCCAGTTTATTAGTGTCGCCTTGATAGGATATGTGAGACCACGTACGACCTGAGAATGTTATTCCGAGGGAAGGGCAGGGGACGGGCGACGTACGGCCTCTGCCGCCCAATCAGCGTGCGGATCGCCGGGATAACATAATCTTTTGTGCGGTTGTTGGTCGGCGTTCGTTTGTTGCGTTTGCGATGGAGCGAAGGCGGAAGATGAAGGATGGATTTCCACCCGTCGTGCTCTCGGACTGCAATATCTACAGCACAGTACAGTATAGTACAGTACAGTATCGAGTGCATTAGGCAGGATATTGGCGTTGTGTAGGCTGGATGTTGGTGGTCGATCGAGAAGACAGGATAGGATCGTAGGGTAAAATGGGGGCTCTGGGCGGCTCCTGCTGTCGGGCGTTTCGACAACATCGTAATACGGTAGGGGTTGAGGAGTCGAGGGTTGCACTCTGTGTGTGTGCTGGTCCATGTGAAGACCTTGTGGCGTGGTCGACGCTTCGGTGAGTAAGGGTTGCCCCGCGATGGGTCCTTGCATAGAAAAGATCGAGCGGTTTAACAGGTTTCGAGCCACTTCAACTTGAAATACATGCTTGTTTTAACAACTGAGGCTTCGAGCTGACGACACTCTTCGTACTGTGTAAGTCAGTATTCGCATCAGAGCAACTTTTGAGTGCTGCACAACTGGGTAGTGCCGAAACTATGAGGGGTATTTCAATGAAATTCCATTCGAGAAGGGGGCATCTCATTAGTTTTCTAGTTAAAATTCAAAATGTATGCAGCAAGCTTGGTGGCGTTACTGCTTGCTGACTATCTCAATCGTAGACGATTTTCACTCTGCGCACTGTACGCTCGGTAGCAAACAGGAAAGCCCTCGACAAGATGAAGTCATCAGGGGCGCGCTCCAAAGAAGCACGCTCGATTGAGGTGAAACGATGAAGTCCTCGAGTGTTATTTTTCTATTTGTTAAGGCTATATTATAATCTTAATTATAAAATACCTTACAAAATAGTTTGAAAAATTGCAGCATAAAAAAAAGTAATGCACTCAGTTTCTATTGTGTGCTTCGACCACTTTCACCTTTCGCACCGCATGCTTCACAAACTCAAAGATATTGGTGGTCACGTGAACATCGGGGGCCTGCAGTCGAACGCGATCCGGTTCGTCTTTCGCTTGCTTCTTCATAGGTGACTGCAATACGTCGGCGTGGAAAACACTCAAGAAGGCCAACTTGCACGCGACCGGTAGCTCTCCAACCCCTTCGAGTTTCTGAAGATTGAACCGCATCAATTCATCTTTAAACCTGTCGAGCACTGCTTTGTTCACCACCACTGTCAAGTAGCACAATGCTTTATTCCTGCCCAGCATATGTGTCAGTGTCCCCAATGCTGCCTGAGGATAAGTCACATATTGGTTCTGCAGCTCCAGGTGACAGACCCACCACCGCAGGGTCCTTGCCAGCACGTTTGATTCATTGTTCAAAACCACCACCAGAGGGCCAATGTTGTCGAAATAACAGTCCAGACGACAAAGTTGCGTGTTGTACTGTTCGCACGCTCGGACAAAGTTGTACGCGCTGACGAGTAAGCCCTTGCGCAGAGTTAATTCCTGCAGATGCGGACAGGACTCGAGAACTCCGGGAATCCCAACCCCTCCCAACAAAGGAAACTCAGACTCAATCCACAGACTGCACAGATGCTGCCCAACAAGATTCAGAAAGGTCGTGAGGTGTTGCCTGTGCGGGCCATCTGAGATGTGAAGCTCCAGTGCCAGACCGGGTTGCACTTCCGAGTCCCTAACGTGGTCACACATTACGAGATTGGTGCGTTGGACTTGGCACAAGCCAATTCCAGGAATCAACACATCCACCCACTCTGTGGAAACATCGTCGTCGGGGTTTACCAGCACCACTCCACCAGCTTCACCTTGCTGGGAAATATTTGCCGAGTCCCACGAAACCACACGACCGGATGCTTCTTCAGTAACTTGGATAGCTGCATTCTCACGCAAATGGTACTCGCGCGCGTCACGAGTAGTGCCGCTTGCGGTCTCCAGTCCCTTAGCAACGGCGAATAGCCCCTGCTCCGTATTAGTGGCAGTTAGGATCCTTGACATCGTATCCAGTATACTAGGATCTAGACGAGCATTGTAGATGATCACTTGCTTCACAGAAGACCGCGATCGCGCTCGGGTCGAGAAAAATGCGTAGGCAATCCACATCCACACTTTCACCGTCGAAGGCGAGTCATGCGAAGAGAGATTAAATGTGACCGACCGGCACGAACGCGTGACTGCCAAAGCCGAGCAAAGCGCGTTCATTTCCACTCCACTCTTAGCTTGCAAGCTCACGCACGCATGACCCACCCCCCGCGACTCGATCGTGACATTGGGGGAAGTTTCCGCACAGAATAGTTTTGATATCATGCGGCAGACATTTTGAGAATCCCGATGACGCACGAGACAAAAGTTTAGCGCTGAAAACTGGACCTCCCGACCCATTTTAGTGAGCAATTTCACGAAGGCACTACTGGTGCGGTTGGAAGTCAAAGCGTTCTTCGAATTGATGCAGTTGACGACAAATGCAGCGTAAAATACCGACCGACACCTTCGTGTCACAGTAGAATGGCGGCCCAACCTTGACGAAAACCACCCCCATCGGACTTGATCTGGACGCAAAGAGTTGTTTATGACGTCCCACACGCGCTGAGATGCAATTCCTGACGCGTTCAAGTACTCCGGTTTGCCGATAACGATTTGAACCAGAATTACCAGGCTGCAAGCGAGTAAATATCGTTTCGATTTGCGCCCAGGCTTCCCGGAACGCTTCGCTGCTGTTGTCTTCCTTCAGTTGGCAGCAAAGCGCTACGAGATCATCGTCAGCCCACGAGAAGTCGTCGCTTGGATCATTGCACAGCTTTCGAGTCGCCTCGATCTCAACAAATACAGGCATCTCCGCCATCATAAACTTGTGCCTTCGTATGTCCTCGTTAACACTGCATACACCCTTTTCTTTTAGCAGCGATATGAGCACCTCGACGTCGATCCACGCCACTGCCGCGAATAGAGCGAGTCCCTCTCGGAGTGTCTGAAGCTGCTCTCCGCGTTCAGTTGCAGTCGACTCACTATCTCTCGGGGGCACGATGCTGAACTGCAGAGCTGGGTGGTAGTCCGGCCCCCACCGCCACACTGCCGCTGAGCTCCCCGTGCATGTAGACGAAAACAGGGACTTCATCACTCCGCACCATTCGTCCAGGAACGACCACTTCTCCAACATCATTGCGCGCTTGTTGCCAAAACGTGAATGCCGGAATTGGAGTCAAAAGGTTTCGATAGTCCACTTACTTCAGAAAATTCCTGAAATGGTTTGATTGAAAGACACATTTGAGACTGGCATTAAGATCGCGAACTTCTCTAGCGGGATGACAACACCCCCCAGCGCAGTGATCGAGCAGTACGCCAATTTTGGCCCACATGTGCAGCTTCCAGCCAACCCTACGTTGTTTTAAAACTCGGAAAGCTCTACCACTGCTCGCCTACCTCTCGCTCTAGAAGGCAAAGCCAACGGTCTGGTCAGCATTGTGAATGGTTGCGAAAACGTAATACAGTACAATACATCAGTGACAATATATTTTATTGCCAGCATGCATTTTCTCTTCTTCACAGTCAATCAAAATTCAAATGAAATATAAGCATTTCGTACTGCGTGCTTTTTAGCTATTATTGAAATATATGTTGCAATAATCGAAAAATATATAAGCCAGTTTTAAATACAAGTATTTTCGCTGAGGGCGCGCGTGGCCAAACTATGCTGTCGCTAGGCTACACTGACTAAAATGTGCACAATTTTTTTTGTGTCATTTAATGATAAAAGGATTGACAAACATTTCCCATCCATTCATCCGCATACCGTATAATACTACAATAATATAATGTACAGTTATTATTGGGTAAAATTAGTTATAATATTTTTATTAATTTATATAAAATACCTCCCAAATGTATTGTAAAAAGTTGTGCCGAATCATATCGCCGCTGGCAGGCAGGCAGTACAGTACTGTGCATGTGCATGGTACTTAGTGTACATGTAGTGCCGCCATGCTCGACTTGAAAGCAACCGTCGGCGCGAAGTTGACGGCGTGAAAACGACGATCGGTAGACCGGCGGAGGGAATGGCTGCATTTGAGATTGGTAGTGGCCCTTTTCTTCATGCTCGGGATCACCTACGTGGCGTCCGTGGCACGCCGCAAACCTTGCTGCTGCAAGAAGGTGCTCGTCTGTCTGTACGTCTTGCCCTCACAACGTCTCGTCAGCGACCTGTCTCCGTACGATCCGGTCCAAGTCTCATTTGAGCTTTTCAACCACCGATCGCACCTTACTGCACCGCCCACCGGAATCGCTACTCGACATGAAGTCCGTCTCCGAACTCTTCGGCGACAGGAATGACGTTGCCGTCACCGCTGCGGCCGCAGTGGCCGTGAGCTTGGGGCTGTCACTGCTGCTCCACAGCACCAAGAAGAGCAAGAAGCCTGAAGGTGTGCGTCTGCCGCCGATGCCCAAGACCACGCTCCCCATTCTCAAGAGTCTGTTCGACGCTGGCGGCAACGTCGCGCGCTTCCACGACTGGCTCAACGAGCAGTCCATCGAGTTCGACCACCGTCCGTGGATGTACTCGATCCCCGGCCGTCCCGTGACCATCGTGCTGACGTCGCCCGATACCATTGAGGATGCTCTTTCAACGCAGAACGACGTGTTCCTGCGCGGACCCGTGGGCCAGTACATGAGCGAAGACATCTTCGGCAACGGCATGATCATTGCGGACGGCGACCCGTGGTATTACCACCGCAAGACGTCGAGCCACCTCTTCTCCATGCAGATGATGAAGGACGTCATGGAGGCCACCGTTCGTGAGAAGCTCGAGGTCTTCCTGGATGTGCTGGACATCTACCACAAGCGCGGCCAGTCGTTCAGCGCCAAGCAGGAGCTCCTCCACTTCACCATGGACGTCATCGCCAAGATCGGCTTCGGCCTGGAGCTGGACACGCTGAAGGACGGCCCTCACCGTGATGAGGACCACGAATTCCAGGAAGCCTTCGACCAGGCTGCTGTCGCGTACGCCGTCCGCGTTCAGTCACCGCTGTGGCTCTGGGAGATCAAGAGATACTTCAACATCGGCTGGGAGAAGGTCTTCCGCGATAACACCACGATCCTGCACAACTTCATCGACGAGGTGATCACGCAGTCCATGAAGAAGAAGGCGGAGCTGGCGGCCAAGGGCGAGAAGATGGTGGCCAGAGACCTCATCACGCTCTTCATGGAGAGCACGCTCCGCGAGAATCAGGACATGCACATCGAGGACGACGACGCCACCATTATGCGAGATATGGTCATGACCATGATGTTTGCGGGCCGAGACTCGACGGCGCACAGCATGTGCTGGTTCATCGTCCACATGAACCGCTACCCGGAGATTTTGGAGAAGATCCGTGATGAAATGAAGGAGAAATTGCCTGGACTCCTCACGGGTGAGATCAAGGTGCCCACGCAGGAGCAGCTCCGCGAGCTCGTGTACCTGGAAGCCGTCATGAAGGAGAACATTCGGTTGATCCCGTCCACGGGATTCATCGCGCGCGAGGCCATGAGGGACACCACGTTGGTGGACGGCACTTTCGTCGGCAAGGGTCAGACCATCATGGTCTCGTCCTACTGCAACGCGCGCAACGCTGACAACTGGGGCGAAGACGCGAGCGAGTTCAAGCCCGAGCGCATGATCGACCCCAAGACGGGCAAGCTGCGCGTGCTGTCCCCCTTCGTGTTCAGCCCGTTCGGCTCGGGCCAGCACGCCTGCATGGGTCAGAAGTTTGCTATGATGCAGATGAAGCTGACGCTGGCCACGCTGTACAGCAAGTACGACATCAAGACCGTCGAGGACCCGTGGAAGCTCACGTATGAGTTTTCTCTCACGATTCCGGTCAAGGGCCCGCTGGACATTGAAGTCACGCCTCTGAGTCCTCTGATGGCGTAGATAAGTAAGTAGCAATTTTAGAGAAGACGCTTTAGAATAGGCAGTGGAAAATGCCTTTTGTACGTCGTGAAAACGCAAATGCACCGCGCTGCTACAGTAACAAACCAACAAATGAAGCAGGGAAATGTCTACAGAAATCCCATGGCTCTGAAGTTCATGTACCTGGACGTTGAAGTTTTGTTCGTTAGTACGCAAAGTACTACCGTAGTAGTATTATATACTACTATATTAGTAGTAGTCAGCGACGAGCGTATGGCGACCACATGCGTGTATTTGACGACAGTTGCAAACTGCAGTACGAGAGCGATTGAGCTTTAGAAGATATTGTATTCGTTGGTGATACCAAACTGATAATATATCAGCCGGGTGTGCTACTGTAAATGAAAACCTACTACTCGGCGACAAATAAGAAGAAAACTCGTTGATGGAGATTGCCAATCTCAGATTTCTGCAGCAATTGCGGAGTGCGTGGTAAGTGCGCCCATGTTGCCAGGATACGTGAACTCCGATTGTAGGAACTTGAGGATCGTGGCTCGCGCTTGAAAACAGCAACGTTTAGAGTCGATAAGTTCTCACAACGAGCTCGAAGAAACTGCGCGGTTCCTCCATTCCTTCATTTGTTTTGGGAATGTTTCATCGTGTTAGCCCTGTTGCGCTCTAATTGTTCATTTGTCACGAAGCCGCTAGGTCGTCCGTCCATTGGAGTGATGAGTTGGTCTGCTCGTACTTGTGCGCGAGAAGTATAAATGACGAAGTGGATTGAAGTGAACGCAACACGAGCGTCAACCAACTTGATCGGTCGACGTATGGAGATATCGACTTACCACTGGCATCAACACTTCGGCACTTAGATTTTCATGTCTTACTTCGGCTCGAGTGGACGGGCATCTTACAAGCACTAGTGCTGTATTTCACGCTGTCGTTTGGGGGAGGGGGCGATACTTGATGCCAAAGTAAATTACCCAGTACTCGTCGGTGTTCGTAGCAGTATCAGCTTCAGCATTCCATCGACTGGGTCGCGAGCACGAGATTAAAGCTAAGTTATCCGAGCTTGTACCCGCAACACATGCGAAGGTTGTGGAGGCTATCCCAACTTGATCCTACAGTATAAACGCGCGTGAACTAAGCCGACTCGTTCATACACGACTGTACCTTGGTGCACGCAGTTTAGTTCGACGCCAGGATTTACTTGCACACCTGTACAGTTGCTGTACTGCAGCACCGCACACACCGCAAGAGCCCATTCGCCGTTTAACATTCGCCTACACAAGCTGACTCCACGAGACCTTGGCGTTCCAGCTTAGCGCTCCTTCGCCAGCCATCTTGTCTTCACCTCCCCGAGCGTTCGCCGCCGGCGCGCCGACCGATCGGGAGGCTCGGCGGCAGATCACTCAATCGGACGACCCCCAGCTGGGCAGACGAGTCAAACAGGTGAATCCCGAGCTGGTGGAGGAGGGCAACAGTAGCTCAAGCATTGACTGGGACGCTCCAGAAAGCGCCCACCCTCGCACGTGCGAAGGTGTCGGCAGCGTCGCAATGGCCAGCCAGCAACCGCTGCTTCCCCTAATAGCACCATATCCACCCTCGGCAGCTCCACCGAGCCGAAGTCTCTCTCTCGCTCTCTCTTCTTGGTGGAGTCAGCCTCTGCCTCTCAGCGCCGTCCGATGCTCTTGACATGCTCAGCGCGCCGTCAAATCGGGCAGGAGACGACGCAGAAACAATCCAGACCTTGACTTGGCTCATATGGCGGGGCCCGAACCTTGCCGCAAGAGCCCAAAGCCCAAGCTCTGCTCGCTCGCACTCGAAAAAGCCCCGCACCGCGACGGAGTGTTTCGACCTGAAATCAAGTCCCACACGGCGCCTGCGTCTCTTTGCGTGCGAAACGACCGACCAAAGCGACGCCAAACCCGAACCGGAGCCCAAAGCCCCAAAGCTTCAAAGCTCAGCCCTCACCTCAATCCCCTGTCCGACATGGCGCTCCGACCCCGCACCTCCAAGCGCGCGCGCCCGCAGACGTCCCCCACCGCCGCCAAGTTCGCGAGCGGCGACGAGAATCTGCAGCAGCTGCTGTACTTCCGCCAGCCCAACGACAACCAACAGCTCGACGACCCGCAGCCGCGCCGGAAGCGCGCCATGGTCTCCGCTAACCTGCGCTTCCTCGAGAAGATGCCCCCTCTGCGCGACTACCAGCGCGGCCGCTTCGGGCGTCGCGGGGGCGTGGACGGCGGCGACGGAGGGGGCTCGCTCTGGATGCGCGCGCTGGAAGAGTCCATGGAGGAGACGAGCTTCGTGACGAGAGAGGCTCCAACCTGCGCCGCGTTGGTGGCGCCTGTGCCCATAGCAGTCGACAACAGGAGGAACAACCAGTTCGTGCCGGTGCCTGTAGCGGTGCTGGGCGCGGGACGGGTAGGTGGAGGAATCCCAGCGGCAGCGGCAGCGTCGACGACGCCGTTCAGTAGAAGTGCAGACGAGGACGCCGTGCGGAGACGACGGCTCTTCGCCCTGCAAGCGGCGCGAGGCAGCGGCAAAGACGACGAGGCCCGGCCAGCCACGGAAGGACTCTGCGAGATGAGCAGATTTTGAGCGGAGCGCTATGCTAGGAATGGACTCGGTTCCTCTCTCTCTCCATTGTTTTGGCGTTTGAGTCTCTGGTCTGGTCTGGAGTAGTCTAGCTAGAGGAGGGAGGAGCTGGCGTTCCTCTTCTTGGGTGGACGGTGACTGCTGCTGGACGTGTCCTCGCTGGGGCTGCCACAAGCCTCCTGCTCTCCTCCTACCTGGCTGCTGTTGGTGTCGTCCAGTTCGTCGCCTAGGATGCGGTCCCATTTCTCCTCGGCGGACATGGTGAACGTGTAGCGCTTGGAAGGCGCCGGCAGGATGCTACGACGCTGTTGCTGCGAGTGGCGAGGTGGCAGGCTCCACTTCAAGCTGCCGACGCAGCTGGCTGTGGGGCTGGGAGGCTGTCGCTGACCGCAGCCGAAAGGTGTCGGGCGCACGAGCAGCTTCTGGCTGCTGGCCTCGGACACCCGCGACGATGGGGATGAAGGAGGCGGCGACGGACACCCGAACAGGCGAGGACGCTTCGCTTGCGGCGGTGGAGCGTTCTCTTCATCTGTGAGACGATCGACGTCACTGTTGGCGGCTGCAGTGTTGTGGTGAACTGCAGTGCTGGTGAGGCTGGAGGAGTCGACCTTGCACAGCACCTCGCCTTCGAAGCGGCTGCCTTTCCCATCCCGTCTCCGATGGGCGGGGTTTCGCACACGCTGGACGTGGCTGCGCACCGGACGGCTCTCGAAGTCCTTGAGAGCGCGCGCGTTGATGCTTGAACTACCGATCGATGCGGGAGGCTCGTGCAACGCTGCCAACGGCTTGAAGTTCTCGCTCACCTTCGGGCTCCGGAAGTTCACGATGTGGTCGGACGAGCCCAATACGCTATCGAGGTGCGTCCAGGACAAGCGAGACGAAGGTCGAGGCTTTTCGTACCGGACACGCGACGTCGAAGCTTGTGGTCTAGTCGAGCTGGCGATGGGGTCTTCTTGTGACGAATCGTCCGTGTAGTGTTGAGGAGGTATCGCCATACCACTGCTCTCTGAGGACGTCGACGATCGAGTTTTACTCGACTTTGGTCTTGGCTTTGAGGCTGCCTGGCGCTCTTCTTCCAGCAACACGGCAGCGGCAGTATCCTTCCATGCGTAGCTTTCGTGTGTGACTGGATGAATCTGACCCAAAGCGATGGACTCTACGACGTCATCACGGAGCTCCACGTTGCCCAGGAAGTGGAGGCCCTTGTCCACCCGCGGAAGAATGCCCTTCGAGACGTCGAGAGGGCTCAACATTTTCAGCTTCTGATAGATTGTGTACACGCAGAACAAACATTAGAAAAACAATAAACTCTGTACAGTATGCATCCACAACAAACAATGGACACGCACCGCATTGCGAGGATCAAATACAAGCTGGTGGCGGTATGTGAGAATGGCAGAGTAGTAATGCTCCTCGAAGTTGTCAGGGAGCACTGACCCCTTCTGCTTCTGCAGCGCTGCTAAGACCTACACAGCCACCATGTCAGCAAATTGACTTGCAGCATTCATCGCTTAAGAGTTTTTCATACCTCAACCGGGGTCTTGAACTGGCTTACGAGCTTGTAGGCATTGATAATGCCGACACCGCTGACGGACGGGCAGTAGTCGCACCCAGCAAGAATGCAGAGCTGAATAAACTGTCCAGACAAAACACAAGTGATCAATACCAGGTAATAAACACATCCCACGTAAAGCTCCAAAACTCAACGCACCATTTCTTCTGTCCACCCAACGAATGACAGCTCTTCATTGGCGCCCAGACTTCTCCTCTTGAGCTCGCTGCCCCATCCATCCGGACTCAACTTAAAGAGCACCGTCTTGACTCCGTACGGAACGCAGTCCGAGTCGTCCGAGATGACCACGTCCACAATCTTCTGCCTCGATAAAAATGCCAGCTGAGCGTCCGCCTCATACGGCGCAACGTAGAATGTGATGTTCATCCGCCTCAGCACCGCGATGAGCTTCATGACCATCTCATTGGTCACCGACACAGCCCTGGTGCAGGCCGAGAAGACGGCGCGGCCATCCCGATCGTCCTCCTTCTCCTTCAGCAGCTTCTCAGCCTTGAGCTTCCACTCCGCTCGGGACCTAGAACACCAAAAACCAAATAGAACTATAAGTGTTATGTAGCTAAAATTTAGCAACTACGTCAGCTCCCAAACCTGCTACGAGCAGCATTCTCCCGAGCTTTAGCAGGCAGTGGAGCTCCGTCGAACACTAAAATGGGCGTGATGTCGTGCTCTTGCAGCAGTTTGATCTGCTGGATGCTGAAGTTCAGGTACCTGTTACAGGTGCAGTTGCAGCTTTTAGCGCTAATTCAAGGGTAAAGTTACTAAAATGGAGGTTAATTCGTTGCGCACGCATCGGTCGGTCGCCCCAGCACGAGGTCCACGGGGCAGCTGTACGCGCCCTTGTAGAGCCACCCGGAGGCGTCCACCCCCACGGTCTTGCCCGCGTACTTGGACACGTGCACCTGGTCCGTGACGCTCTTGAGCACCGGCAGCAGCCCCGTCACGCCCATCGCTAACTCGTCCCGCAACTTCGAGTTTGAATCTGGCGCCAAAGTGACGACAGGGTTTCAACCAATGAAGCACATCTGCGACGTGTGGAGAAGCGAAGTTGAAGTGCATGCAATTTAGCCAATCACATGCATCTGCGACGTGTGACGAGGTGCTGCTTGGACTTGGGCAGCTTGCATCCGCTCACTTCCGCTTTGACCGATCTCCAGCCACTCAGCCATGCCGCTTACGCTCGCTCAAGCTCAGCGCAACTCGCGCAGCCTGTACCGCCGCATTCTGCGTGAGAGCCGTCAACTAGAGCCCAACACGCGCGAGTTCTACCGCCGATTCGCTAGATCGGTGCAGGTGACCGAAGAGAGCTTGCATCTGTTCTTTACTTGACTTAGCTTCGTGTTGTTGCTGCTGCTGTGCACAGGGATTCCCGAGCCACGCGGGTGACACGGACCCGGACGCTATCCAGGACCACATCCGCCGCGTCGAGCAGGACATCCACTGCGTGCTGCTGGACCGTGGACTGCACTCTTCGTAGAGACGCATCCAGAGATGACGGACCACTTGCTTGTATAGAACTCCCAATTGATGCATACATATCATACCATTTTACTCACCAATCGCACCAACTAACTCGATGCATTCACCGTCGGTTGACTAGCGTCAGACTGGCTGCTTGCTGTTGTAGGAGCAGCAGCGACTGCCTTGGGTCGCGCGTGCTTCTTGGTCGGCTTGCCCTTCCCGGAGCGCTCGGGCCACTTCTCCTCGCAAAACGAACGCGAGGCGTCTAAGTACGCCTTCCACGCCTCTCGTCCCTGGGCGTCGTAGATTCGGGGAGGCAGCTCGTCCCGACGTAGCGCGTTCTTGATGACCGCAATGTTGGCGTTGAATTCGCGGTCTAGGATCACCGTATCCTTCGCCAGCAGCGGCATTTCAGGCGGGTACGCGATGGCTCCGACGAAGAACACGGCCACCATCGGGAGCTCCGCGTTCTCGAGCAACAAACTGCTGTCGTCCATGATCTGAGAGAGTCGCTGCTGAGCATTCGAGACTTCCAGGTAGTACGAGTACGTCTTGGCCAGCTGCTTGAGAAGTGCGTCGACTGGCCTGTCTTCTCCTGGTAGCTGGGTCTGGGTCATCATGTCCATCGTGTCGACGCCTGCTCTACCAGTGGAGACGCCCTCCATTGCGTCCAAAAACTCTTGGAGCCGACTACGAAGCACTTTGCCGCGCGCGTAGAGCACAACGCCGAGCATGATATCAATCACGTCGTGGTCTTCCTTGCAGGCGAGCACCCAGGAGCCCACCTCCTTCAACCTCCCGTAGGCCTCGTTCTCCTGAAGTAGTGCAATGTAGAATCGCCAGTACTTGAGGCGGTAGTAGTCGTACTTCATCTGGCGCTGGTTGAGCTCCTCGAACTTCTTCGCAGACGGGATGTACTCGGAGAACCAGATCGCCACAATTTGAGGACGCCTCTTGTCAAAGATCGGGGACATCTCCTTCAGCGCCCGCGCAGCCGCATCAGAAGGACCCTCCACCTTGGTCTCGTTCCGACGAGCCAGTACAGCGTCGAGGAGCGAGTTAACGGGGTCGTCCTTGTATCCGCTCTGCTCAAGAGCTGAGTAGAACGTTGATAACCAGTAGACCAGACGCGCCAGCACATACCGGGACGGATGGAAGTAGCGATCCTCGTCGGGAATCGACTCAAGCGCCTCTATAATATTCAGCGCCAGCCAACCCCGTGCTAGAGTGACGTTTAGCTCGCGGTTGTCATCGTCTCTCTTGGCGTCGGAGAGAAGAGTGAGAATTTCATCCTTTCTGGTAGAACTCGCACTCTTGGAGTCACTGGTGGTCTTCGAGCTCGCGTTCTTCTTCGAGTCTTCAGAAGCGGTTGAAGTGACGGTTTCCTGACTGATGCTCTTCTCATCTGGCTCCTTGGTCGAAGAAGAATCAACACTATCGTCGTCGTCATTGTTCTCTCGCTCTTCTTCTTCTTCATCATTCTCCTCCTCTTCATTTTCCTCTTCGTAGAAGTGGTCGCACACTAACCGCAGTGCAGCCACCGACGGCGACTCGCTGATAGTGAGGTCTATCCGCAAAGCTTGAAGAGAATAAAACGCGTGAACGAGAGCGTGCTCTCTGTCGCCCTCATTGCGAGCCGCTTCGGCCTTGGCAAAACAGTCCGCCATTTCAGTCGCAGTTGCTAGCGCCTCTGGGTCCGATGAGTCTTGTCTTCGAAGCTCGCACCATCTTCGTTTCTTCAGGGTTTTACCGATCATGTATTGCAGGCGGAAGTGATCTTCGTGTGCGTCTTCATTCGCCTCACAAATCGCTAGCCCCTTCTTGAAGTACACAAGTGCTTTCTCCAGTAATCGCGAATATACCGTGAGAGGGAACAGTGCAGCGTTCAGCTCCTTCATCAAAGAGAACTCCTGCAGCACATTGTAGAGCAGCAGACCGCTCTCTTCGTTGCACTCGATCAGCTTGTTCTGCAATTCATCCAGCTGCTCGTCAAAGTCATCGTCTCCTTCGCCCTCTGCTCCTCCATCACCACTGCCACGCTTCTCTTTCAACTTTAACTTGTGGGTTTTAGCGGCCTCCTCAGCCAGCCGCGCAGCCATATCGAAGCACCGTCGAGCGAACTCGATCACTTGTACGATATACGTCGTTGCGAACTCCTCGATGGGGATGCTTGGAGCAGATTGATTTTGGTCGGTGTTCTCCTTTGTCTCCTCCTTCGAATCCTTGGAATTCGATGACTTACTAGCTGCCTTGTGGCCATCAAAATCTTTACCTTGCGACTCCTTCATTTTCTTGAACAAGCTCCACCCCAAAACAACCTTCTGGAACGACAGCATATCGGGACCTTCGCCCTGCTGATACGAGCTCTCAACGAATATTTTAGCTGTGTACCATCGCAATGCTTGGATCCTGAGCTTGCGTCCGAGCACAGCCGCGAACGCATCGGTTGCCGCGTGGTACAGCTCCTTCATCGTCTTTCCCAAACGAATCCACGAGTCGATCCGGTCCGGATGATAGTACAGCACGTCCTTCATCAAGAACTCCACGCGCTCTCTCACATGTTGCTCTATCTCCATCAGCTCGCCAAGGTTTCCTCGACGCTTTACCCGCCCAAGGATGAAGTTCGCACCCATCAGATACCACAAGTGACCTAAGCAGGCTTCATCTGCCGAATTTGGCGCTGTATCAGCGCCCAGAAGGAATGGGAGTGCGATTTCTTCCTGCAGTAGACCCCTTGGCGCTAGGTACGCCTCCAATGGCGGTGACACGGACGCTGGGTGCGCAGATAGAGCAGCGAAATCAGAGTCGGAGAGAGCGTCACGTACAGCATAGAGAAGCTTGAGTCGCTCTTTCTTCTGGCCATTGTTCTTTGGCTTCGTCGCAAGAAGAATCGGTACAGCGAAGCGAATGAGCCGCAGTGCGTCTTCGTGCTTGACACTTTGTTCTGCATTCTGGAGAGAAGCGAACGTAGCCCCCGTCTTGTGATCGTCGGTGCCCGGCAGAATTTGCCCATCATACAGACAACGGTAGCACTGGCAGACCTCCTTCTGGAATCGATACTCCGCTTCTTCCCCGTCCTCATCGTCTTCCTCGTTATCCTCTTCGGCGCTGCTGTCATCGGACTTCTTGATAGATTTTCCTTCGTCCCGAACGCTCGCGTTTTGCTTCACAAACTTGCTCAACAACAGCGTACACGACTCGAGGAAGCACGAGGTTTTGCCAGAATCCGCTGAAGGCCGCGATTCAGAGAAGTATGTCAAGCCACAGATGCCGTGCTGCCCGAGTCGTTCGTGCAAGAGATGGATCAAGTTTACCAACTGAGGCAGCGAGGCAGGCAGGTCCGGGCGACGGAAACTCTCGTACAGCAACACGAACAAGATGGCACCGTTGCCAAAGAGTTGTCGTGGCGTCTTGCCATCGCTGCGTGCCACGGTCTCTTCTTCCTCCTTCATTAGTGTGCAGCATAATGTCATCAACGCTGATATCTTCGGAAGAGGAAGCGACAGCGCAAGCTTTTCGTTACTCTGGAGAGCTCGATTCATAAAGCGAAGAAGCTCCACGAGCACCACTCGGATGCGATCACGACGTGGCTGCTTTCGTTTAACTGGATGAGGCGCCAACGTGAACAGGTTCCGGAACTCTTCGCTGGATAGCGACCGAATAGTGTACAGCAGTCGAGCCATAGCATCCACGCCAATCATTTGGAGCTTGTCATCACCACCAACAGAGGGCTCGTTGATCTCTAGTGCAGCTCGTAGCATTGATAGCACATCGCTGGGAGAATCAAAGCGTAGCAATATTGTCGGCTTCAGGCATCTTACTGATAATGCACGCAGTAACAACCAATAATCGCTGGTAGTTATCCGTTCACACTGGTTTTGCGTGAGTTGTGTCAACAAGAAGTCCAACGCAGCGAGGGCGTTCGTACAAGCTTCATCCGGTGAATCGTCAATGGTAGCGGGCTCTTTCGTCACCACCAACCCATCCAGAAAATCAATAACGTAATAAAGTGTCGTCAACAGGAACAATACCGCGTCGCCATCCGAATACTTTGAGCTATGACGCAGTGAGTCGAGCACCATTTCGAAACGCTTTTTGCTGCTCCCACCGCGAGCAGCTGGATCATCTTCGTCAACTTCAAATTCGTTTAGGAAGTCCATCATACGGGGCGCTTGATTAGCCGGAAAGAAGTGGCCCAACAATACAGATACAACCTGATCGTGATCTCCAGCTTCAAACAGGCGCTGGGCTTCTGAGCATACATCCGAAAACCGCAGACCAGAGATCTTCTCGTCCAAGATTCCCAGCGAGATTTCGTTGTCAGCTTTCTGATTCGGCAGCTCAACTCGAAAATCGTCCGCTCCACCAACATCACCATTACTGTCATCACCATTACTGTCATCCCCGTCAATCAGCTCAATAAGCTTGTCCCTGCATTGGCTGAAATACTGCTGTGCCATCTGGGGATTCCCGCAACGCTCGTACATCCGCGCGATAAGCCAAAGCAGACGTAGAAATTCACTCCCACTGGGACAGTCCGCAGTCTCCTCCGAGCCCTCGAGCCAGCCGAACTCAAACAGAAGCTTTTGAGCCCGAGCTAGCTGACTTTCCACGGCCCTTTTCATCTTTCGCCGCCTTTTACCGCGGACAGGCTGCTGTAGAAGCATATCAAAATGAAGCTCCAGCAGAAATAGTTGGGCCCCAAGTGCTAGACCATTTCCTTCGAAGCGACTACCTTGGACGAGCGAGTGATCGGCGACATCAATAATGCTAGACTGTGTTGTGGTCCCCCTTGGCGTTCTCGCAACATCCAGCTCACCATTTAGTACTTTTTCCAGCCAGGTGCAAACTGTGTGGATATTTTCATCCTCACTGCCAAGTTTCAGGTGTGCCCATCGGCCGCATTGGTTCAGGTAGTGCCGCACCCAGTCCATTACGCCACGAGGTGGTGCGTGTCCGCTGTCACTGACAAATGCTGAGATTCGGGCCCCGGACACAATTTCAACTCGCGAAGGCGATTCTCCTGATGATGTTCGGTCCCTTGACGATTTTTGAGAAGACTGTGACTCCACTGTAGCCGCAGAGTCTTCCGTAGACGACGGGAAGGCAAACGACGATACTTGTGCGACTGTCTCCTTGCTCGCGTTCGAAACTCGGAATTTCGCGTCGACTAGCTCAATATTCAGCGGCGGCAGCCACTCGATGGAGACGGACTCCGGCGTCGACTCCCGCTCCTCCTCTCCAATTGCATCCGGAAGGAAAGCTCCTAACCTGTACGCCAGGTCCTTCTCCCGCGCCTTCTTGACTGCAGCCGCGTGCTCTTCGCGTAGACGTTCCTCGTTACGGCGCGACTTTCGTCTGCGCGGTGGGAACTCCAATAAATCGCTCAGCTGAATGCCGCTGTCTTGCGTATCGTTATCCGACACACCGGTCGATACCGACGTCTCCAACGCTGCAGACACTTTAGCCACATCTTTGTGCTTCGCGCGCTTGGCTGGAGGTGGATGGTCATCCTCATCCTGCTTCTCCGCACTAACTGTCTCCTCCTTAGCACCAGCGTCACCGCGCTTCTCCTCCTTCTCCTCCTCCTTCTGCTCCTCCACGCTCGCCATCTCCACCTGCTCATAGCTGACTTGAATCTGCACCGCCGCACGCAGCACATCCACACCGTCGTCCCTGTTGCCGTCCTCGAAGGCCTCCAGCAGCACCTTCCCCAGCGCGCTCCAGGACGGCTGCTGCAGCTCGTACGTCCTGCTCTGCATCCTGTGCTTTAACTCCTCCGTCCTCTGCTGCTCCAGCACCTTCCTCCTCTTCGTTTGCTCCTCAGCAATGCCATGCAAATGGACCAGCCGCTTGCGCGCGCGCCGCAGCAGCTTGGCGTCTTTGTTTGTTCCCTTCGTCTCTGAATTGGGCCCGTCAATGAGCCGCACCGAGGCACACAACGGATCGTGCTCCCGGATATGCGCCGCCACGCGCGCGTACGCCTCGGCGTCCCCGATCTCGTGCAGCACCTCGGCCAGCGTGCGCGCCAGCGGCCAGTACGTGGCGTCCACCTTGAGCCCCTCCTCCAGCGCGCGCCGCGCCAGCCAGAGCTTGCCCGTCTCCACGGCCGCCTGGCCCATCTGGAACCAGACCACGACGTCCGTCGCGTCCAGCGCCAGCGCGCGCGCGAAGCAGTTAAGAGCCGCCTCAAACGCGCGCGCCTCCACCTCCATGGACGCCAGGTTCTTGTGGCACAGGTACTCGAGGCGCGGGCTCACGGCCACGGCGCCGCTCAGCAGCTGCTCGTATAGTTCTCTGGCTCGCGCCGTCTCGCGCCGCTGCTGGCAGCGCAGCGCCTGCTCGTACAGCGCCGCATTGTCCGCGTCCTGGGCCTCCTCTGTGGCGCGGGCCTGCGCCGCGCTAGCCCTCGCGTCGCCTGCCGACACATTAAGCGCCGCCCAGGACGCCATGATTGCTTTTTGGGCAGACTATGGTGCAATAAAATGCTCATGAAATATGTAAGACGGGATAATAACTCGAATGAACAATTAGAACAATTAATATTATATTTTCATTCATAATACACATTATTATTATTATTGGACTATTGTAGGATAAGGATAAATATCGTGACGGTGCCGACACAATTTTTTTACTTGATTTAAGTATAGGCAGACTGACCGCAATGCATGTATATTGACCAATGACATCTAGATATACCCAATATCGGCCAATGAGCTTGATTAGGTGTAGGGTAAAACGATGCCGACGCCGTGCCGACGTATAATGTAGGCACGGGGGCGAAAATATGCAGGGCGTCAATACGAGCCACCAGTCTACTGCTCATCACTCGAATATCTGCCTTCTTGCCGACAGAACACTCGGAACCAGTATGAGCCTCCAAGACCTCGCCCCCGTCAACTCCCAGCGCGCTCTACAAACCGCAATCAACGCCTTCGGACGCTTCGTCGCGGCCCAAGGCGTCTCCATGGACTTCATCGCTGCCTCTCTCGCAGATGATGAGAGTGGGGTTGTGTTTGTGAAGCTCATGGACCGCTTTGGCGTTCACCTCGCCTTCGTCGAAGGCCGAGGAGGGAAGCCGCTGGCCAAGAACTCGGTCATGAGCTACTACCGCCATGTAAAGAACTGGCTGCTCGACACCTACCCGACCCACCGACCCACCATCGAGAAGAAACTACTCAAGATGGGACAGACGCTCGAGCGCCATTGTCTGAAGCGCATCGAAGATGGAATGGTCAAGAAGGCGCCTGCCTGCACGAAGGAAGACCTACGAATTCTCATGGACGGACTCTACTATGATGCCACCAGCCCCAAGGACTACCAAGATGCCGCGTTACTGGCGCTGATGTGGTACGCGTTTGGCCGCGCCTCAGACCTGGGGTTCGTGGGGAAGGGAAACCTGTCTGTGAGTGCGGATGGCGTTGTGTTCGTCCGGCTCATCCGCGTGAAGACTTCAGACGAGCAGGGCATCTCTCTCTTTCCCGACAAGAACAGCTTCATCACATACCCCCTGCATGCGATTGCGATGGCACTGGTGATGCAGGACGCTCCGTGCGCACAGCTGCTGGATCATCCGCACCTTGCCGCAAGCGGCGACGAGAGTATGACAGCCCCCGTTGACGTGCCACTAGTTGAAGCTCTTGTTGCCTATGAGAACGACGACACGCCAAGTGAGCCGCCTCAGAAAAAGCGTAAACTGCCTGAATACAACATGAAGATCCACGCCTACGTGAACCGCGTTGTCAAGACAGCGTCTGCCGCTCAAGCTAAAGCGGTGCCAACTGCAAACTTGACGTCTCGCTCGTTTCGACGTGGTGGGGCTCAGCATGCAAACGGTGATCCACTGCTCAGTGCTCAGTGGATTTTCGATCGTGGTTCGTGGAACATGACGGCTACCAACAAGGCTTTCGCTTACGTGTTCAACACAACCAGTGAAGACCAGAAAGTAGCACGTGGTCTCAGCGGGTGGGACTCGAGCAAGAAGCCACCGGTTCCAACCCTCTCCTGGTTCGACTCCGCCAGCCGGCAGCAGGCACTGAGCTTGGGAAATCTTCTTTTCCAGCCAAGCGTGTGCACCCAAGACCCCGAGAAGAAGCTCAACGCCCGCGTCGCTGAAGTTCTAACTGCCGCGCTGATCCAGCATTTTCCCGAGGTACTCGAGCGCTACCCGATGTGCCCGTACGCTACCCGGATGCGCGAATGCCTGATGGCGTTGGGTTTACCAAAAGCTCAAGTTCTCGCGTGGAGCTCTGAACTACAGGCGAAGGTGGCACAAAAGGATCTGGAGGAATCTCAAGACGACGCGGAGGTATTCACAAGAGAAGAAAAGCTGATCAATCACCAGAACTGCATCATCGGCGAGCTGATAGCCATGAATCGAGCCTTGACCGAGCGGGTCACCCAACTGGAGAGTCAGCGCGACGTTGGTCAGGGTGACTCCTCCACAAGTTTGCCTGGCACCACAATCGCATTGCGAGGATTCCGCTACTGTATCGAAGTCGTGTGGAAGCAAGGCTCTCCCGAAAGGCCCAGCGGCTATTTGGTTTGAGTGGTACGCAAAAATACCACGTACAAGCACACCGTGAACTACATGAAGCTCTTCTTACCAAACGGCTTCGCGCTGGACCCGTCGGCCCCTGACTACACGACCAAGTTGTTCGTACGGGAATTGATGCCGAAGCCGGTATGTACAGTTTTTTAGAAGAGCATGGAGTCAAGAGCAAACGTGGATCAGCTGTACTCAAGCAACTGCGCAAGTTTTTCCGGGAAAGCAAGCCCAACTCTCTAGTAGACGCGTGCCGTGCTCGCGTTGCTGTCGCTGGCGTAACGGACCCAGCGCCCAAGGAAACGCAAGAGCTGTTTACACGGAAGTAGTTGAGTTATAGTTTCTAACGTGGGGCTATAATAAATGTTCTGCACCGCTACACATTACACTTCGATAAATGTATAGCGTACAGCATGTAGCACGCGTTTGACTTTCGTACGCAACTGCTGGAACGCCACAGAGCTTCATAATATCGATCTACTCTTAATCAGCTCATGCATTTGACAACATCTTGCACTGCAGCCGAGGCGGTGTGCTATCACTCTGAATCTTTACTGTAGCCATTTTAATAGTAAAAAATAAGAGTGTTCCTGTCTTAAAGGATATTTTATGATTACCCAGAGGTTGCAGATTAAACAACGGTTTTGTGTAAAAGTAGGATTTTATTGTTGGTAGTTAATCGGCTCGACCGCGTAAACACAGCCCAGATCAGCAAAGAAGTGGCGTAATCCGTCTTCGGTACTTGGCTTGTAGACGAGCTCGTCCGAGTCGATGAAGTAGTGCTTGTTGCCCACCGCCGCGCGAGCGATGCAGTGCCAGGTACCCTCTTCTTGGCCAAAGGGCCTACCGATGATCACAAGGTGCCTAAAACTAGACCTAGGAATCTTCTTGAACCACCTTTGCGAACTGCAGTTGAACGTGTTGGTACTGTTCAGGTACCGCAGCTGATAGCCCATGGCGCGAAGCGCTTCATGCAGTGCTTGCATAGAATACGCCCCGTACTTCTCATCGCCATGGGGGGGCTGGCCCTTCTTCCTCGGGTGCAGCCGCGTTAAGACGACGCACGATTGGCGCCAAATCCTCGACGGTTAAAAAAACCCCGGGTTTGCACCGCATTGTTGATCGAGTACAAGCCACAGAGAGAATATCTCTCGAATGTACCGCTCTGATTCTCACACATTGGACCGCCCCTAGCCCGTCTACCCACAATGGATTGCATCTCTGTTCGTGGAAGGTCTAGCAAATCGCCGGACGTGAAGAGAGACGCGCACCAAAAAAAACTCCCCACTCTTACTTAGCACTGACGTGAAATCGCTAGCAAATCGCCGGCGGGGTGAGCGCAAAAGCAAAAGTGAGAAGGACTGCATCGCTGCATCGAAGGCGACGAGCGCTAACCAACCGTGTAAATTTCAATGCTTTTAATACAGTACAGCCAGATGAACTCTCGAAAAATGAGAAATGTATTGCGTTTTTGTATGTTACGCAGCGCTAATGCTGCTGTTTTAATAACAACATGCAAACGCTTAAGTTGGTAATAGCGGCAGAATTGCAGGTGTCAGGCAGTAACAGCCTGCAATCCAGGATTTGCTCTGGCACTGCTGGAGCAGTGGCGCATTTGATTGCTAACCGCCTGGGCACCATGCCCGATGTGCATGATGTGTCTGCTTTTTTTTTTTTAGCCAATCCCAGCTTGTAGGCACTCTGTCGGCCGATGTCGGCACCGTCATGGTATGGAAGCTTTCTCCCAACTTGGCAATGCCATGACAGAGAAGCGCAAGGAATGCCAACTTGGCATTCCTTGCGCTTTTCTGTCATGGCATCTATCCAATCAGGACAAGTTCTTCAATGAATTTAGCCAATCACGATCGATTCGTGTGTATCCCAACCTTTTCCCAATTATTTTGGGAATTTATAGTCTTGCTAGAATAATGTCCAATACAAAAGTTAAGTGTAAATGTTGCATTACTCATATTTGACCACAAATTCCCAATACAATCATGATTGTATCGTTGGTGGCTATGGATCTCGACCCGGGGAGCTTGGCTGCTGGACTCGCTCACGAAGCCGTTCGCGTACGTGGGTACCACGACACGCGAGGACCAGAGTGTCGGCAAAGTCCTCGCTGGTTACCGAGACCCGCACCTGCCATGCGTCACGCCCACGATTGCCAGCTTGAGCGAGCTTCTTCCTGCGCTCGAGTACGCCCAGCTGCTAACCCTGCGCGGCCAGCTCTTCAAGAACGTCAGCGGCTTCACGGACACCACGCTCAACGTCGACGCCTTAGTCCTGGATGCGGCGCTCGCGTCCCTGCTCATCCATCTTGACGACGTCGCAACGACAGTCCAGCAGGAGCAGGCTGCCATAGGCTTCACATCGCATTACCTGTACCGCTTCCACGAATCTCTGGACGCAACAACGTAGCGCTGGGAGCTCGGCTCTCGCTGGACACGTGCATTGGTTGGGGTCGGCAGCTTCGCACGGCTTGGCAAACGGAGAACTTCGGGCAGCTGGGTGAACGCAGCAATGGAAACCAGGGCTCGCAAACGGTGCTGACCGGGTACCCGTACCCACCCGTGTAGCCGTCCAAGCCGAAGTCGGGTACCCGTACCCGTACCCGTACCCGCCCGCCCACAAGCCACGGGTGTACCCGGGCCAGCCAGGGCACAAGGTTTTGTACGGACGGACCAACTGTTACATCTCCCGACACGGTTTTAAAGTTAAACATTTAAGTAGGAACTACGCGAAATCAATACAGAGTGAAAAGGACTTGTGGAGGCTAAAAGAAGACGGCGTAGGAGCATGATATAGCTGGTATAAGTAAGAAATATTACTATTTAGTACTATTTTCGTCGACTTCGGGTACCCGTGGCACCGCCCGAGGTTTGCTTCGGGTATCCGTACCCGACCCGAAACCGGGTATACCCGAGGCGGGTAGGGCGGGTACAAGTAAAGGGTACCCGATTGCGTTCCATTGGAAACACCACCATACTTGCCGCAGCCGTCACCCAGATGCTATCGCCCATCGCAGCAATGCAGCACACACTTCAGAAGCTCGTCGCGGTCCACGAGAGCAAGTCCGCCAGCGCTGACGGTCCTGCTCCTTGTCGCTGTGCTGGCCAGGCCCCGCAGGCGAGCACTGACACCGTCGTTGAAGCGCACTCTCTTGCTGGCGGCTTCTACAAACTGGTACACACTGGAGCTGTGGCACACGGCAACCCAAAAGAAACCACAGTTTGTTCGTGCTGACCTCAAGGCAGGCGTCAACATCATGACCATAGCAGCAGGGCGAGAGGTAGACGTACCAACGGCGCCACTGGACCGGGACGGCGTCGCGTATCAGCTGTGGAAGCAGCGTGTCTGGACGCTAGCGGAAGACTTGGACAAGAAGGTCAACGCAGCGCTTGGGAGTATCGACGGTAAAGGCCGATCCAAAACCGCGGGGTCGCTACGGAAGCGCTGGAGAAAGCTGCGCGTTGACCACCGCTCTGCGTACGACGCGCTCCGCTCAGCATTTATCACCCGCAAATCGAACGGTGGCATCGTCGACCGCTGCACACCAGCTAGTCACCAATGGAAGCAAAAAGACTTGGAGTCGTAGGATCACGCAGCTTGAATTAACACTTAATACATTCCTATTAAACACAGCGCATGGATTCCCGTCAGTCCCGATACAAAGTCATACACAATAGAAAAACGCTCACATACCGTCAGCGAGCGCGCACGACCTCGTGGTTGGCCGACAGCTACAAAACCGGCAGCATAACGCCCGCCCTACCTGGTTTTGTAGCTGCTTTCGGCGGGTCCTAGCGTGGGGCGCGCCTGGGGGCACTCGGGTCTGGGGTGGCCGGCGGGGGCGGCGTGCGGCACGCTCGGAGTGCGCTGTTGTGTTGGAGATGGGGGGCGGAAAGTGTGAAGGCGGAGAAGGCTGCGCAGCCGGCCAAAAATAAAACCTTAAGGTTTTTTCTTGGCTTTGGAGCCGATAAACCAGTCCATACTTTGTTGAAGTCATTTGGAATTTCACTTATGATTGGCTCTCCTCATTGGGAGCGGCGTTTGGGACCTGGTCGATTACTGGTCGCAAACACGATCATGAGATTGTAACTAGAGGTTTATTGTGCTTTGCAATGATTTTGGCAATATGAGGCGAGATTTGCTGTATTTATAGCGACCACCTGCTAGATTTACGATAAATCGAGGTGCATAAATGGGTGGAGGCCTAGAATTACGCTAAAAGCGCCACAATTGCACTTTTGAAAGTGCAATTGTGGGTGTGCAGCTGCAATTCTGTCGGTTTTTATCCACAAACACCTACACACACGGCAATTATGCATAAGAGGATGGATGTGCTGGGGATCATGGACGGTGGTGTACGGGACCAATGCATGGCTGCTTACATGCCCTCCCAAGTCGATATATATATGAGGAGGTGGATTTATGCATAATTTTAGCCGGTCGTGTATCTTCTTTCACACACATTTAGGAGCAGGCTTTGCCATATTTAGAGTCTAAAATGGTCGGCAAAATAACTGCAAAGCACAATACGACATGCATAATTGCCCCGCCAGTCTTGCCACCACCACCAAACAAGTCGTCTACATGTACGCCTCAACAATTCCAGTTCACTTCACTTTTTACCGCATCAACTTTAAGCCATTCTCAACCATGAAGCCTGCACACTTAGGCGCATTCGCCGCGGCGGTCTCAAACGTGGCGCTCGGCTACTCGTTCTCCGGCGTGTCACCGCCGTTGCCAGCTTCTATTTCCAGTCCGGTGACGGCATTGATGTCGCTATGTCGGCTGACGAAGAGAACCGCATCTTCGGCGGCGAGAAGGCCAAGATCGACAAGTTTCCCTGCATGGCTGGACTGCGCAATAACGGGACGGATGGCGAGGGCTTTTGCGGCGGGGTGCTCGTAGCGCCACAGTACGTCATCACGGCTGCGCATTGCATGGGGGGGCATGGTCGATGTGAACGTCTTCCAACGCAGCGTATTCAGGGTCGAGGATCTCGGGAGGCTGAGCATATCCGAGTTGTCGAGGCCTTTTGCCACCCGCCCTACAACTCAACCTGGCCCAAATGACGTGTGCCCCGAAGGTTTCCGTTGAAGCCCCGTAGCGCTGCGAAGGCCACATAGACAGGACCCAGAATACCATTCACCATGCAATCATTCAAATATAACCAAAGTTCGGAACTGTGGTCGCCGTGACCTCAATAGGCGGCTACGCGGTGGAGGACCGTGACGCAAAAAGAGCTGTATTTGAAAACCTACGATAGGAATCGCACACAGTGCAAACGGCCATTTGGAATCCGACGCGGACACGCTTGCGGAGCTTGATTCTGTGAGTGCACGCGTACAACAGACGCCGCCAAAGCTCCGAACTGTGGTCGCCGTGACCTCAATAGGCGGCTACGCGGTGGAGGACCGTGACGCAAAAAGAGCTGTATTTGAAAACCTACGATAGGAATCGCACACAGTGCAAACGGCCATTTGGAATCCGACGCGGACACGCTTGCGGAGCTTGATTCTGTGAGTGCACGCGTACAACAGACGCCGCCAAAGCTCCGAACTGTGGTCGCCGTGACCTCAATAGGCGGCTACGCGGTGGAGGACCGTGACGCAAAAAGAGCTGTATTTGAAAACCTACGATAGGAATCGCACACAGTGCAAACGGCCATTTGGAATCCGACGCGGACACGCTTGCGGAGCTTGATTCTGTGAGTGCACGCGTACAACAGACGCCGCCAAAGATCCGAACTGTGGTCGCCGTGACCTCAATAGGCGGCTACGCGGTGGAGGACCGTGACGCAAAAAGAGCTGTATTTGAAAACCTACGATAGGAATCGCACACAGTGCAAACGGCCATTTGGAATCCGACGCGGACACGCTTGCGGAGCTTGATTCTGTGAGTGCACGCGTACAACAGACGCCGCCAAAGCTCCGAACTGTGGTCGCCGTGACCTCAATAGGCGGCTACGCGGTGGAGGACCGTGACGCAAAAAGAGCTGTATTTGAAAACCTACGATAGGAATCGCACACAGTGCAAACGGCCATTTGGAATCCGACGCGGACACGCTTGCGGAGCTTGATTCTGTGAGTGCACGCGTACAACAGACGCCGCCAAAGCTCCGAACTGTGGTCGCCGTGACCTCAATAGGCGGCTACGCGGTGGAGGACCGTGACGCAAAAAGAGCTGTATTTGAAAACCTACGATAGGAATCGCACACAGTGCAAACGGCCATTTGGAATCCGACGCGGACACGCTTGCGGAGCTTGATTCTGTGACTGCACGCGTACAACAGACGCCGCCAAAGCTCCGAACTGTGGTCGCCGTGACCTCAATAGGCGGCTACGCGGTGGAGGACCGTGACGCAAAAAGAGCTGTATTTGAAAACCTACGATAGGAATCGCACACAGTGCAAACGGCCATTTGGAATCCGACGCGGACACGCTTGCGGAGCTTGATTCTGTGAGTGCACGCGTACAACAGACGCCGCCAAAGCTCCGAACTGTGGTCGCCGTGACCTCAATAGGCGGCTACGCGGTGGAGGACCGTGACGCAAAAAGAGCTGTATTTGAAAACCTACGATAGGAATCGCACACAGTGCAAACGGCCATTTGGAATCCGACGCGGACACGCTTGCGGAGCTTGATTCTGTGGGTGCACGCGTACAACAGACGCCGCCAAAGCTCCGAACTGTGGTCGCCGTGACCTCAATAGGCGGCTACGCGGTGGAGGACCGTGACGCAAAAAGAGCTGTATTTGAAAACCTACGATAGGAATCGCACACAGTGCAAACGGCCATTTGGAATCCGACGCGGACACGCTTGCGGAGCTTGATTCTGTGAGTGCACGCGTACAACAGACGCCGCCAAAGCTCCGAACTGTGGTCGCCGTGACCTCAATAGGCGGCTACGCGGTGGAGGACCGTGACGCAAAAAGAGCTGTATTTGAAAACCTACGATAGGAATCGCACACAGTGCAAACGGCCATTTGGAATCCGACGCGGACACGCTTGCGGAGCTTGATTCTGTGACTGCACGCGTACAACAGACGCCGCCAAAGCTCCGAACTGTGGTCGCCGTGACCTCAATAGGCGGCTACGCGGTGGAGGACCGTGACGCAAAAAGAGCTGTATTTGAAAACCTACGATAGGAATCGCACACAGTGCAAACGGCCATTTGGAATCCGACGCGGACACGCTTGCGGAGCTTGATTCTGTGAGTGCACACGTACAACAGACGCCGCCAAAGCTCCGAACTGTGGTCGCCGTGACCTCAATAGGCGGCTACGCGGTGGAGGACCGTGACGCAAAAAGAGCTGTATTTGAAAACCTACGATAGGAATCGCACACAGTGCAAACGGCCATTTGGAATCCGACGCGGACACGCTTGCGGAGCTTGATTCTGTGGGTGCACGCGTACAACAGACGCCGCCAAAGATCCGAACTGTGGTCGCCGTGACCTCAATAGGCGGCTACGCGGTGGAGGACCGTGACGCAAAAAGAGCTGTATTTGAAAACCTACGATAGGAATCGCACACAGTGCAAACGGCCATTTGGAATCCGACGCGGACACGCTTGCGGAGCTTGATTCTGTGACTGCACGCGTACAACAGACGCCGCCAAAGCTCCGAACTGTGGTCACCGTGACCTCAATAGGCGGCTACGCGGTGGAGGACCGTGACGCAAAAAGAGCTGTATTTGAAAACCTACTACGATAGGAATCGCACACAGTGCAAACGGCCATTTGGAATCCGACGCGGACACGCTTGCGGAGCTTGATTCTGTGAGTGCACGCGTACAACAGACGCCGCCAAAGCTCCGAACTGTGGTCGCCGTGACCTCAATAGGCGGCTACGCGGTGGAGGACCGTGACGCAAAAAGAGCTGTATTTGAAAACCTACGATAGGAATCGCACACAGTGCAAACGGCCATTTGGAATCCGACGCGGACACGCTTGCGGAGCTTGATTCTGTGAGTGCACGCGTACAACAGACGCCGCCAAAGCTCCGAACTGTGGTCGCCGTGACCTCAATAGGCGGCTACGCGGTGGAGGACCGTGACGCAAAAAGAGCTGTATTTGAAAACCTACGATAGGAATCGCACACAGTGCAAACGGCCATTTGGAATCCGACGCGGACACGCTTGCGGAGCTTGATTCTGTGACTGCACGCGTACAACAGACGCCGCCAAAGCTCCGAACTGTGGTCACCGTGACCTCAATAGGCGGCTACGCGGTGGAGGACCGTGACGCAAAAAGAGCTGTATTTGAAAACCTACTACGATAGGAATCGCACACAGTGCAAACGGCCATTTGGAATCCGACGCGGACACGCTTGCGGAGCTTGATTCTGTGAGTGCACGCGTACAACAGACGCCGCCAAAGCTCCGAACTGTGGTCGCCGTGACCTCAATAGGCGGCTACGCGGTGGAGGACCGTGACGCAAAAAGAGCTGTATTTGAAAACCTACGATAGGAATCGCACACAGTGCAAACGGCCATTTGGAATCCGACGCGGACACGCTTGCGGAGCTTGATTCTGTGAGTGCACGCGTACAACAGACGCCGCCAAAGCTCCGAACTGTGGTCGCCGTGACCTCAATAGGCGGCTACGCGGTGGAGGACCGTGACGCAAAAAGAGCTGTATTTGAAAACCTACGATAGGAATCGCACACAGTGCAAACGGCCATTTGGAATCCGACGCGGACACGCTTGCGGAGCTTGATTCTGTGACTGCACGCGTACAACAGACGCCGCCAAAGCTCCGAACTGTGGTCACCGTGACCTCAATAGGCGGCTACGCGGTGGAGGACCGTGACGCAAAAAGAGCTGTATTTGAAAACCTACTACGATAGGAATCGCACACAGTGCAAACGGCCATTTGGAATCCGACGCGGACACGCTTGCGGAGCTTGATTCTGTGAGTGCACGCGTACAACAGACGCCGCCAAAGCTCCGAACTGTGGTCGCCGTGACCTCAATAGGCGGCTACGCGGTGGAGGACCGTGACGCAAAAAGAGCTGTATTTGAAAACCTACGATAGGAATCGCACACAGTGCAAACGGCCATTTGGAATCCGACGCGGACACGCTTGCGGAGCTTGATTCTGTGGGTGCACGCGTACAACAGACGCCGCCAAAGATCCGAACTGGTCACCGTGACCTCAATAGGCGGCTACGCGGTGGAGGACCGTGACGCAAAAAGAGCTGTATTTGAAAACCTACTACGATAGGAATCGCACACAGTGCAAACGGCCATTTGGAATCCGACGCGGACACGCTTGCGGAGCTTGATTCTGTGAGTGCACGCGTACAACAGACGCCGCCAAAGCTCCGAACTGTGGTCGCCGTGACCTCAATAGGCGGCTACGCGGTGGAGGACCGTGACGCAAAAAGAGCTGTATTTGAAAACCTACGATAGGAATCGCACACAGTGCAAACGGCCATTTGGAATCCGACGCGGACACGCTTGCGGAGCTTGATTCTGTGACTGCACGCGTACAACAGACGCCGCCAAAGCTCCGAACTGTGGTCACCGTGACCTCAATAGGCGGCTACGCGGTGGAGGACCGTGACGCAAAAAGAGCTGTATTTGAAAACCTACTACGATAGGAATCGCACACAGTGCAAACGGCCATTTGGAATCCGACGCGGACACGCTTGCGGAGCTTGATTCTGTGAGTGCACGCGTACAACAGACGCCGCCAAAGCTCCGAACTGTGGTCGCCGTGACCTCAATAGGCGGCTACGCGGTGGAGGACCGTGACGCAAAAAGAGCTGTATTTGAAAACCTACGATAGGAATCGCACACAGTGCAAACGGCCATTTGGAATCCGACGCGGACACGCTTGCGGAGCTTGATTCTGTGACTGCACGCGTACAACAGACGCCGCCAAAGCTCCGAACTGTGGTCACCGTGACCTCAATAGGCGGCTACGCGGTGGAGGACCGTGACGCAAAAAGAGCTGTATTTGAAAACCTACGATAGGAATCGCACACAGTGCAAACGGCCATTTGGAATCCGACGCGGACACGCTTGCGGAGCTTGATTCCGTGTGTGCACGCGTACAACAGACGCCGC